AATGAATACAGGAAGGAAGGAGGGAGAGAGAGAGGGAGGGAGGGAGGGAGGGAGGGAGGGAAGGTGGGTGGATGGATTCTGAATGTATCAGAAGAAGGTAACGTCTTGTGTCATTTCTAAAAAGGAGAGCTTTGAGTTAAGTTCCTCATTCACATCTGGGGCCTCTCCTCACCTGGACAAGTGCTTTGAAGATATGCTTGCTCCACTGACCATGGCTCTTCTCCTTGCTCCAACAGGGAGATGACCTCAGGCTTAGCAATCTGATTCCCTACACGTAAGGAAAAAATATGAACTTCTGTGACAAAGCTTTGGAGAAGCCAAAGAAAGTATCCCTAGCCTCTTCTCCCTGGCTGACTCCTCACTTAGCAAAATTCTTTCCCCTTTGTGCTTTATAAGCATTAGGCATTTCATCCCTGAATCTCAGAGACTAAGTTCATCTCAGTCCTTCGAAGACCCAACCCACTGTTTCCACAGAAGAGCATGGGCACAGCTTTTTTTTTTTTTTAAGTGATCTCCACCTTACCAACAGAGAGCAGGTGTCCATAGGTCTCCAGCATCACATCACGGTACAGGGTCCTCTGAACAAGATCTAGCTGCCCCCACTCTTCTTGGGTGAAGGCCACAACCACATCTTTGAAAGTCACTGGTTCCTGAAAGAGCACATATGATCCCTCTCAGCCTAAGGCAATCCCTTCCAAAGTTTCTGGGGATAGCATGAGGCTGTCAACCCTGAGAAAGGGAGACAGGATATAAAGAACTTGCTGGATGTCGTCACGTCTTATAAACAATTCATCATCTCTGAACTGAGCAGCCCTTGCTGCCTACTCTTCAATACATCTTTTACTCTTCCCAACTGAACTGCATCCCTCATCGTTATATGATTGGCTTGATGCAAAGACAAGATTATGTTACAAAGATTCTGTTATCTGCCAACACCCTGACACATTCATTCTTACTACATCCCATTGCTGTTGCTGGTTTATATTGAAGCATTTGGAGCAATGATCACGGAGTGATGAATTATTTTCAGCAAGCTCTAGCCAACATCCTGCTGCTTTCAGAATGCTAATCCCAGCTGTGGATTTCTTTTTTTTTTCCCCTAATGTATTTTTCTGCATTTCATATAACACATCATAGTCATATCCAGGCCCTCTCCAGGTGTGGATTTCTGCCTTCACCTTTCTGACATGCAACATCTAAGAGTGCTGCACACACCCTCTTCTCTGAAACTCTCCCCAACGATAGTGTCAAAGCCAATTTCCCAGTTTACTCAGCTCTTTCCAGACTTCAGTTTCCTTGATTACTATTGTAACACACCCTCTTCTCTGAAACTCTCCCCAACGATAGTGTCAAAGCCAATCTCCCAGTTTACTCAGCTCTTTCCAGACTTCAGTTTCCTTGATTACTATTGTTTCTATATTTGGTGTTTAATTGGTTGGGTTTGGTTTTTGGTGTTTTTTTACTTTTGTTGTTGCTTGAGACAGGGTCTCATTATGTATCCCTAATTGGCCTGAAGTTCACTTTGTAGACTAGGCTAGCTTCAAACTCAGATTCACCTGTCTCTGACACCTGAGTGCTGGGATTAAAGGCATGCACTACCACATTCAGTTGAGTTTTTTGTTTGTTTGTTTGTTTTTTTCATTTAAAGATAGTAAATGGGCAGAGAAACATAACATCCTAAGCTCAATGAACTTTCACAGAAGCCAAATGTGTGGGACAATGGAGAGGCCATGCTTACTGTACTGGTGCTTCTGGCACTTGTCTCACACTACTTAACCTCCATGGAGGTGACATCTTCTGAGATGGCTTCAACATACTTAACAAGATCGACATCTATACCGTAGGAGGTGTCAACCTCATAGACAAATTCACCTCCCATCCTTTTTGTTTTAAAAAATGACTAGATTATCTATAGATACAAAAAGAATGAAATTAGAGGATTTCACAAGCCCTAGTAATAAAACGCTGGTCACTGGTGACAGCCATCAACAACCACTGAGCCACAGGGGCAAAGACTGGGAGATATAAAACAGGCGTCAGTCTGACAATGTCTTGCACTTGATAATCCATCCTATCATCTGAAAACTCAACAACTAAACACCATATATATGCCCACTAATGCAAAGAAATGTAGGAAGGAGTTGGGGGCTGAAAAAAAGCTCAATCAATATAGGGCTTGCCACACAAGCATTAGGACCAGAGTTCAACCCCCAGTACCCCCATAAAAAAAAAAAAAAAAAAGCCAGGCATGGTGGCACACACTGCCCAATGCTATGGAAGCAGAGACAGGTAGAGCCCTGAGGCTCACTGGCCAGGAGCCTAACTTACCAGAGCCCCAAATCCCAGTGAGAAACTTTGTCTTGAACAAGGCAGAAAAGCCAGGCATGGTAGTATATGCCTTTAAGCCCAGTACATTCGAGACAGAAGCAAGCAGATATTTTGAGATTAAGCCAGCCTTGTTTACATAGCAAGTTCTAGGCCAGCTGGGACTACAGGGAGACCTTGTCTCAAAAAGACAAAAAAAAGTGGATTTTACCCTAGGCTGATCTCCACAGCTTTAAAATGGCCATTCTAACTGTATGGAAGTCCACTGAAAAGTATAGTATTTGAGACTGGGCAAGTGTTTGAGTGGCTACCTTAACCTAGCTATGTAATGGTTTTATTAGTGAACTCATTACAATAAAGTAACTTACGGGACAAAAAAAAAAAAGGTAAGACCAGTGAGATGGTTCAACAGGTAAACACACTTGCTGCAAAGCCCGATGGCCCAAGCTTGATACCCACACCCTACATGGTAGGAGAGAACCAACTCTTACAAGTTGTCCTCTGGTGTTCACAAAATCAATCTCTCAATTTCTCTCTCTCTCTCTCTTTCTCTCTCTCTCTCTCTCTCTCTCTCTCTGTCTCTCTCTCTCTCTCGCTCTCTCTCTCTCTCTCTCTCTCTCTCTCTCTCTCTCTCTCAAAATGCATTTTTTTTTCTTAAAGGTGAATGGCTCCTGAGGAATGACACACCCAAGATTGGTCTCTGGCCTCCACATGTGTATGCATGTGCAAATCAAATACACACACACACACACACACACACACACACACACACACACACAAAAAAAGAGTAGGAGGGGCCCAGCACAACCCAGGAATTTTACTCTTGCTAAAAATGCCAAATGAATCTACTCAGGCCTCTAGTCCAACTACATTTAAAGAAGATGAATGACTTCATGCAATGACACTACAAAGGAAAAATCAGGCAAACCAAGAAGCCAAGGGAGCTAGTTTCTTCAGATGCAAAGTATAAGCAATAAATATGTGGGCCTTGTTTTGATCCACATTTAACCAATTGAAGAAGACACTGCAAAGGCTGGAGAGATGGCTTGGTGGTTCAAAGCACTGGCTGCTCTTGCAGAGGACCCAGATTTGGTTCCCAGCACCCACATGGCAGCTCAGGCCCAACTGTGACTCCAGTTCTAAGGGATCCAATGCCCTCTTCTGGCCTCGATGGGCACTAGGCATGTATGTGGTACACATAACACACAGTCAAAATACATGTAAAATAAAAACAAATCAATTTTTTTTCTTTAAAAAAAGAGAAGACACTGTGGGGACAAGTGAAAAAGGAATGTGAGCTGGGTATTAGATAATATCTAAGGGTTGTTAATTTGGGTGGGTTTCATAAGGATACTATTACTTATATCCTAAAGTAAACATATCTCTTAGTACTGGGGTTATGGTTTAAAGGTAGACACTTGTCTAAAATAAACATATCTCTTAGATATGTGCACAGAAATACTTGTACATAAATTACATAATTCTGAGATTTGCCTTAAAATGCTCCAGTTTAACAAGTAGGCTGTGTTGGAACAACTTAAAGGCAGAAACTGAAAGCTGGCTGTTGTCGAGAATATAAACATGGATGTATATAGAAGGAGCAATAGACCAGATGGACGTCCACATCCTAACCCTCAAAATCTGTTATTTTAATGGTAAAAGAACTTATAAATTCAACTAAATTAAAGATGTTGACATGAGTAGGCTGTATTAGCCGAGGTGTGATGATGCATACCTTTAATCTCAGCACTCGGGAGGCAAAGGCAGGCAGATGTCTGAGTTCAAGGCCAGCCTGGTCAACAATAGCGAGTTCCAGGCTAGCTGGGGCTACAGGGACACCCTGTCTCAAAAAAAGACCAAAAGAGAGTAGCCTGTATCGTGCAGGTGAATCCAGTGCACTGTGAGGGAAGAGGGCAGAGAATCAGGAAGCAGAGGTAGAAGTGATTTGCTTTGAAGAAGGACAAAGCTGGGGATATGGTTCAATGGTAGAATTCTTGCCTACCATGCGCAAGGCCCTAGGTTCACTCCCCAATACTGTTCCCCAACCCAAAGAAAGGAAGGACACAAGACATAGAATGAGAAAACACATTCTTTCCAGGAGCCTGAATATGGACCACAGCCCTGAAGACTTGTTTGTGGATATTTTTGTTGCTCTCATTGATCTGGTTTGGGGAGTTTTGTTTTTAGTGGGTTTTAAGTCTTTTTTTCATTATTTATTTATATTTATGTGTATGTCTGCATGTACATAAGTGCACCCATGTTGTGCAATGCCCATGGGGGTTGGAAGAGGGTGTTTGATCCCCTGGAACTGGAGTTAAGGATGACTGTTATCCACCATATGGGTGATGGGAACTGAACCTGAGTCCCCTGCAAGAGCAGTCACTGTTCTTAACCACTGAGTCATCTCTCTAGACCATTTTCAGTTTTCTGAGAAAGGATATTATTGCTTAGGTTAGGCAGGCCTCGAACTTGGTATGTAGCTGAGGCTGGCCTTGAACTCTTGATCTTTGTCTCCACCTCCAGGTGTTGGGATTACAGGCTTACAGTAGCACCCCTGACTATACAGGCCCATTTCAGACTTCTAAGCCCCAGAACTGAGAATAAACTAAAACCATTCTAAGCATTGTTTGTTCCTAAACTGCTACTGCAGCAACAGAAAACTCAGTTTATGTTCTATTTGGGCTTTTTAAACCCTTTTTTTTTAAATTAAAGAAATAAAAGGAAATACCATAGCCAATGAGGACAGTGGACTGGCAGCACCAGAAACTCCCCCACACTCCTACCCCTGACCTACTGAAGTGGTAGCCAGGCCTCCCAGACCCACCCCTAGGCAGGACTACTGTGGATAGGAGCTACCTGTGGGAGAAACACAGGAGTTCTGTGCTCTCAGCTTCAGTGACATAAGAAAGGTTGGAGGGAAATCAGTGTGGAAACAGCTGGGGCAAAGGTCTGCGCTAAGGACAGCCTGACCAGCCACTCCACCATGTGCGGTGCTTCCAGCAGCACTGACACCTCCGCAGAATTCTCATAGGCCTTTTAGGCTCAAGACCAGAAGGCAGATCCTAGCCCAGCAGGCTCAGAGAGCCAGTGAGATTGCCAGGAGAGAAAACAGCATCAGTCAAGAAGCAAAACTAGTGGGCAGCATACCAGCAAGACTCTCAAGCACTGTGTCACATCCCTCTCCTGGTAACTGACAGAACAGAGGAATGTCTACTCCACACACAGACACAGGGCTGGGCCGCCAGAGAACACAAATCCAGACTTCAGATACATCCAATTTGAAGAACTCTAAGTCCTCTTTTCAGACTCTCACCTTGTAGAGACT